CTGTGTCCGATCGGGACTGTGTCCGATAGAATCTGTGTCCGATAGCAACTTACCACCTTCTGTCATACCGACGAATTGTAGCGATACAACATGGGTTGCGTGGTGGTTTGGGAGAGGGGAAGGGACGGGGGCGGGAGGGGGTGGGGCGCGCGCAGCGCGCCGTGCTAAACGCACTTGCAACATAAATATTAAAAACCATCGTTAAATATTTTTTGTTAATAACTTTTTAACGAACAACGACCGCCGGCTAAAACCTTTTGAAGGTCACTCAGAGTGATGACCTTGACAACATATGTCAAGGGCAAGGTCATCGGAGGGTGGTCCGTATCTCTAAATAATTACCCAAAATTCTACGTTAAAGTTAAAACTGTTCAATATTACAAAATATCGTTTACGTTTCTTTTACATTTTCTCTTTCAACTCGACCGTGCATGTCTGTTCCGTTCCGTAAAAAATTTCTCTACCAATCCCATATAGCAAAACGGAACGGAATCTGGTTACAAAATATGTTTCACTTTTACATTTTAGTATGTCAGAAAACTCTCAACAATGTTATCGGCAAGATAATTGCACAAATTATGTATGTCACTGCTTTAGTCGCATCAAAATAACGAAATATCGAAGAATCAAGTATATTTACTTGCGTCCGATGCGACATTCCGTTCCGTTTTTGCTACATGGGACTGGTAGAGAAAACTATTACGGAACGGAACTGGAACGGACCGCTCCATTCTAGTGAGATATCCGTTCCGTCATTCCGATCCGTGATCAATGGGACTGCACCCTTATAATATGCGCAGTTACATACAAGCGTTTATATATTTGGTTATAAAACGTCTCATACCTGCGAACCAGTAGTTACGTTTAACACGTTCTAGCGTCTTTTCTACGCCAAGGTGTCCAGCGTCATCGTGGCACAACCGGCAACTTTGCATCCGTGCATCTCGCGGCACTACCCATGCTTGAGTATGGTCGTCCAACCGCCTGTATACCTTATCGTCCTTGAGGAGATATTCCTTGAAATAATGCTTGGTCTCGTTCGTTCTCTTCTTGTCCAACAAGATCGTCCGTATATGTGATATTTGCTCGTCCTGTAGCTGGGCCGCCAGTACCCAATCACCCTCGATTATGTCAACCTGTAATACTTCTATAATAATAATACTTGAATCGGGTTGCGACTGAGTGCATCCACGTGTGCCATCCTAGTCCCGGCACGATGCTCGATCTCGAAGGTGTATTCCTGTACCTCCAGCCACCATCGGTCAATTCGGGGGAGTAGGTCCCGCTTGGCGAAAGTCGTACGTAAGGCTTTGCAGTCGGTTACAACTTTAAACTTTGTGCCCAAAAGGTAAATTCGAAAATGTCGCATGGGAAATACAACGGCCATCGTTTCCAACTCGTAAGAGATAGCAACGCTGGTCGACAGTAGTTTGCCGACTGTAGTATGCTACCACCGCCATCCCACCATCGACTTGCTGCAACAGGATAGCTCCTATACCAATCGCGCTCGCGTCCGTATGTACTTCTGCAGGGATCCCCGGGTTAAATATTGCCAACACCGGTCGTGTAGTTAATTTAGTTTTGATTGTATCAAACGCTCGTTCCTGTTCGGTTTTCCACACCCAAGGCGAATTCTTCTTACAAGGGGACAGTCAGGTGTTCCCCTCCCCGATTGGGCTGAAATTGTGCATAAGTGTAGTACTTTACGAAACTTTTATAGAGCAAGACACTCGACGCCCCTCTCAATCGTTTTCGAGAAAAAGCAATTTGAAATTTGCATGTATGTGTTAGTAGTTGTGCAGCGCAAAAATTTTTCAGCCGAACGCGTAGCGTACCTGGCAGCGCGCCAGCTTCGTAAGCGCGAGATCGCTCGTTCGAGTCTCGCTGCTACTCTTTTTTTATCCATTTTTTTCTATTATAAATGTTTCTTTAGTTATACAATATTGATGCTGAAATTTTAATATTTTTATCGTTTTGAAATATTTGCAATATAAATCTTTATTAATTATTTGCAATATTTGTAACGTTGGAATTTTTGAGCTACGGATAGCTTGGAGATTCCAAGGTTCGGTCGGTGGGCTGGTCGAAGAGTGAAGGACGAGACTTATAATTTCAGTAAAAGACTATTTTATTCTAGCTCTACGTACTTACAGCTATTCCTTAATACTATCGCTCGCAATACTTAATACTAATACTTAATACTAATCGCTTATAATCTAAGTCCGCTTCGGCGGCGATCTTTGTACTTGAATGCTGGCGCGCTGCGCTGCTGAGACGTTACGACTATATGATTCGCGGGCCGGGATTCGAGTGTGTTCGGTTTCGGCGGCGGGAGCGCGGTATGTTCGGTATCGGCGTTCGGCGGCGCGGGCGCGGTAAGCTCGGTTCGGTCGCGCTGTTATCGCATGCGCGGTTCGGCGGACGCGGTCGCGGCGCGCGTCGCGGCTGCCGGTGACAGCTTACGACACGTGTGTGGAACGGGAGGTTAGGTCGGTGTGTTGGCACGGCGCCGCTCAGCTCGCGGGTTCTTGTACCGGCTCGTGCTCATTACGCATCGAACCGTGGCGGAATCGGCACTCAGCTCGTGCCTCGGAAGAGAGGAAGCGGTCGCTCAATACGCGGCCTGGGGTAGACACTCAGCGCGTGTCTTGATAGATTAGGTGAGTGACTCCGCTCAACGCGCGGTTCTGGGTACCGGGTTCGGCTCACTACGCCTTCTCCGGGGAGACGACCTGCTCAGCTCGCTGGTCGGAGGATTCTGCTTCTCTCGGCTCGCTCGGGCTCTTTTATACCGTAAGTTCGTAGGCGCGGGGGTTAGAAACGAGACAGGGGAAGAGCGCAGGGTGGGGAGCAACGTTGCTCTTTGTTGTCACGTTACACCTCCCCCCTGGCAGATCCCGACATTGTAACAAACACTATTCTTTATTGACCTCGACAATGTTCTAGGTTCGCTCGCGGAGCTGGATTTCGCCGTTACGTAGCCGCTTGATTATGATGGTGCGGCCGGCGGTGTGGTGGCGGTAGCGTTGTCCTGGACGGATGCGGTGCCAGGGTACGTCTCGGAGGAGGCCGTTGAATCCGTCTCCGTTGTCGCCGGTGAAATACCCGTAGCCCGGAGGTGGCTCTGCTGTTGGGCTCGTCATGGGTACCTCTGGTGTCGCAGCGGGTGTCGGCGGAGGCGTCGGGAGCTCTGGTGCCGCTGCTACGGCCGCTGTTACGGCTGGTTCGGTGGTGGCCATTGGTTCGTCTTCCAGGTCGGACAGCGAACCGAATAGGGCGTCGAGTTCCGAGGCGAGGGCGGCTGTTGTCTGGGCGGCCGCTTGGTACAATTGCTCCTGCCTGGAGACGGTCGTTCTGGCCCGTATGACCGCGGGTGCCCGTCCGCGTTGTTCGACGCTCACCGAGGCGCGGGCCGTCCGTGGTCTAGCTTCGGCGGGTGGCACGTAGCGGGGAGCCTGTGGCGTTAGTCCCGGTACTGGCGGGTGTCCCGGAGCTCTTCTCCTGGGAGCCATCCTCTCGAGCCGTGCGCGTAACTTGCCCATGCTGTGGCTTTCTTTCCGTGTTCGGTGCGAGTGCTCCCTTATATACCCGGCTTTGCGTGTTTTTGTGTGATGTTAGACACCCTTGAGATCCTTCACGTGGGCCGTCCCCACCAGCCGGTTGTTGTGATCTCGTAGTCGGTACATGACCGGTGAGATTGCTCGGTAAACGGTATACGGTCCGGAATATTTTGGTGCTAGTTTGCCCGCGAAGTGTTCGCCTGCTTTTGACAGCGGGTGTTCTCGGCGCATGACCTGATCTCCTGGAGCGGGACCCCATTCTCGCCGACGGAGGTTGAAGTAAGAGGTTCCTGACGGTATGTGGCGTCCCTTTG